ACAAAGGCAACCGCGTTACCTCTAGGCCAAATGGAAAGGAGCCCCGAAGTTGCAAAGGTTGACTAATAAAAACAACTTCATTTGTAGGAAAAGTTTTTTAGGGAAAAAAGTTCTAGTTCTCGATTACAAGATCCAAATTGAGAAAGCTCAACAGATTAACATTTTATTCCACTGAAAAATGTAAAAACTATGAATCATTTACGAAACTAGCACTCGCTCACGTTTTTTCGCGCAATTTCTGTTTTGTCAATTGCCTTCCCATCTTTTTATCAAATGATTTTGACTATAACTTATCAAATAAATCTCAATTGTCATTATGCAAAAGATCAACCGTAACATAAAATCTTGAAAAAAAAACACTCAGTAAAATTTTGGTTTTCTAACGCCCAATTTTGAGGCAACTAAACAGATAAAACATCAGCCGAAACCATTTAATCCGAAGAAGAAAAAAGAGTAATGAGCGAAAAAGAATCAAAAATTAAGAGTTGGTTCACACAATGTAAAAAATCCAAAGAACGGCCATTTAAAATACAGAATGGCTCAAAATTAATCTGTTGGCCGAAAGTAGATATGCTATAGATATGCCAACTGCTACACTGAATCGATCAAACGATTTTCTTCAAGCAGTCGTTTACCTGACAAGTTCAACATATTCCGATTTGATAACTCTACCCAACCAAACATCAATTTGCTAATCTCAACATCAAATTCGAGCACCGCAATCAGAAAACCAGCATTGACCTATTTAAACTTCAAAGTAGAATTTAAGCGGACAAACTGTTTAAAAGAAATCAAGAGCTTTTAATCCAGACCGACGTAGGGTGAAAGGGGTTTGTGCAGCTCCTAGATGTGGGTTGCGTGGTCCAGCCACGCAGAGGCATACATTCTTCGAAGCTGGGCTTGCACTTAAAAAAACACTCAACGTAACCTAGAAGGCAATTTGGAAGAGTGTCTTGACCAATGCAGCTCCCATTTGACCCACCCTAATTTACACAAAAGGGCACCACCTTCAAGTGAAATAAAACAATGCGCTAACAACAACAACAAGGTGCTAACGAATAAGTGACATCACATTTCTAAACGACGAAACAAAAATACTTCTGGTCCGAAAACAAAATGAAAAGCTCTCAAAGCAGTTTTTTCTCAGCCGCTACCAAGATCATACTATCAACCACAATGGTTTCGACCCACCATTGAACACTTGCTTTTCGAAAACCAGGAGAGCATCTCTAAGCATGATAATGTGAGACGAATAAAAGATCACAGATGAATTACAGAAATTTATTAATGAAAAATCCCAGCTGTTTGGCAAAATAAACCCCAACATTATAGCCAGCAAACGAAAAAAAGTTCGACGGGAACACCAGATGTACACTTTACACATCTTAGATCCGGTTAATCGACTCGTCTAAATAGCGACTATCACAGACAGACCAACAAAAGACACAAAAGACAAGACGTCTGTCCAAGCTGTTACATAGGAACTCACGCCACCGAACATCTCTTTTATAACCGGATACACCGTACCTCCCTTACTATCTAGAGCTTATGAGAAAATCACGAAGATGCCGCCAAACACCTGCAGCTTAACAGACAACTTCATATAGCGGAAAAATTTCTCGGCTCTCCCCCTTTAAAAACTGCCCTCTTAAACCAGCTCTCCCCTCTTAATAAAAACTGACCGCTTAAACCGCACGCCGAAGATCCTAGCCCCTGGAACGGGACTTTTTTGATATGAAACCTTCAAACTTTCTTCTTGATCGTGCTATACAGAGCAGGTGTGGACACCAGCACGAAGAGGCTATCTTTGGAAGAGGTGGTTCTGCTTCTACCTCAATTTTGCCGCTAGAGACTCTGGGGGAACTGCAGTGGTAGATTTGCCGAGAACAAAACCAAACGTAAACGAAAGTTCCTTAACTATCTCTCCTCTCTCTCTCTCAAACTCAATCGATCTCTCCAATCCTATCAAAAGTTCGGAGCAAAGGTCCGACGGGGACTCGAACTCCGTAATCTTCTCGAGTACAAAAGCAACCGCGTTACCTCTAGGCCAAATGGAAAGGAGCCCGAGGTTGCAAAGGTTGACTAATAAAAACAACTTCATTTGTAGGAAAAGTTTTTTAGGGAAAAAAGTTCTAGTTCTCGATTACAAGATCCAAATTGAGAAAGCTCAATAGATTAATATTTTATTCCACTGAAAAATGTAAAAACTATGAATCATTTTCGAAACTAGCACTCGCTCACGTTTTTTCGCGCAATTTCTGTTTTGTCAATTGCCTTCCCATCTTTTTATCAAATGATTTTGACTATAACTTTTCAAATAAACCTCAATTGTCAATATGCAAAAGATCAACCGTAACATAAAAACTTGAAAAAAAATCAACTCCTTGAAAAAGAAATTTTTTTCATTGATAAAAACGTGAAAAAAAACACTCAGTAACATTTTGGTCCTCTAACGACCAATTTTGAGGCAACTAAACAGATAAAACATCAGCCGAAACCATTTAATCCGAAGAATCAAAATTAATCTGTTGGCCGAAAGTAGATATGCCAACTGCTACACCGAATCGATCAAACGATTTTCTTCAAGCAGTCGTTCACCTGACAAGTTCAACATATTCCGATTTAATAACACTACCCAACCAAACATCAATTTGCTAATCTCAATATCAAATTCGAGCACCGCAATCAGAAAATCAGCATTGACCTATTTAAACTTCAAAGTAGAATTTAAGCGGACAAACTGTTTAAAAGAAATCAAGAGCTTTTCATCGAGACCGACGTAGGGTGAAAGGGGTTTGCGCAGCTCCTAGATGTGGGTTGTGTGGTCCAGCCTCGCAGAGGCATACATTCTTCGAAGCTGGGCTTGCTCTTAAAAAAACACTCAATGTAACCTAGAAAGCAATTGGGAAGAGTGTCTTGACCAATGCAGCTCCCATTTGACCCACCCTAATTTACACAAAGTGGCATCACGTTCAAGTGAAATAAAACAATGAGCTAAGAACAACAACAGGGTGCCAACGAATGAGTGACATCACATTTCTAAACGACGAAACAAAAATACTTCTGGTCCGAAAACAAAAACAAATGCTCTCAAAGCAGTTTCTTCTCAGCCGCTACCAAGATCATACTATCAACCACAAAGGTTTCGATCCCACCATTGAACACTTGCTTGTCGAAAACCAGGAGAGCATCTCTATGCATGATAATGTGAGACGAATGAAAGATCTTCACATATGAATTACAGAAATTTCTTAATGAAAAATCCCAGCTGTTTGGCAAAATAAACCCCAACATTATAGCCAGCAAACGAAAAAAAGTTCGACGGGAACACCAGATGTACACTTTACTCATCTTAGATCCGGTTAATCGACTCGTCTAAATAGCGACTATCACAAACAGACCAACAAAAGACACAAAAGACAAGACGTCTGTCCAAGCTGTTACATAGGAACTCACGCCACCGAACATCTCTTTTGTAACCGGATACACCGTACCTCCCTTACTATCTAGAGCTTATGAGAAAATCCCGAAGATGCCGCCAAACACCTGCAGCTTAACAGACAACCTCATATAGCGGAAAATTTTCTCGGCTCTACCCCTTTAAAAACTGCCCTCTTAAACCAGCTCTCCCCTCTTAATAAAAACTGACCGCTTAAGCCGCACGCCGAAGATCCTAGCCCCTGGAACGGGACTTTTTTGATATCAAACCTTCAAACTTTCTTCTTGATCGTGCTATACAGAGCAGGTGTGGACACCAGCACGAAGACGCTATCACTGGAAGAGGTGGTTCTGCTTCTACCTCAATTTTGCCGCTAGAGACTCTGGGGGAACTGCAGTGGTAGATTTGCCGAGAACAAAAAAAAATGTAAACAAAAGTTCCTTAACTATCTCTCTCCTCTCTCTCTCTCAAACATAATCGATCTCTCCAATCCTATCAGAAGTTCGGAGCAGAGATGATGTAGTTACAGCAACAAAGGTCCGACGGGGACTCGAACTCCGTAATCTTCTCGAGTACAAAGGCAACCGCGTTACCTCTAGGCCAAATGGAAAGGAGCCCGGAAGTTGCAAAGGTTGAGTAATAAAAACAACTTCATTTGTAAGAAAAGTGTTTTCGGGGAAAAAGGTCTAGTTCCCGATTACAAGATCCAAATTGAGAAAGCTCAATAGGTTATAATTTTATTCCACTGAAAAATGTCACAACTATGAAGCATTTTTGAAACTAGAACTCGCTCACGTTTTTTCGCGCAATTACTGTTTTCTCATTTGCCTTCCCCTCTTTTTATCAACTGATTTTGATTAGATCTTTTAAATAAATCTCAATTGTCAAACTGCAAAAGATCAACTTTAACAAAATCCTGAAAAAATCAACGCCTTAAAAACATTTTTTTTCATAAAAAAAACATCAAAAAAATAACACTCGGATACATTTTGGTCCTCTAACGCCCAATTTTGAGGCAACTAAGCAGATAGAACATCAGCCGAAACCATTTAATACGAAGAAGCAAAAAATAGTAAGGAGCGAAAAAAAGTTCAAAAATTAAGAGTTGGTTTACACAAGAAAAAAAATCCAATAGAACGGCCATTTAAAATACAGAATGGCTCAAATTATATCTGTAGGCCAAAACAGATATGCCAACTGCTACACCGAATCGATCAAACGATTTTGTTCAACTAGTCGTTTACCTGAAAAATTCAACATATTCGGATTTGATAACGCTACCCAACCAACTACCAATTTGCTAATCTCAATATCAAATTCGTGCACCGCAATCAGAAAACCAGCATTGGCCTATTTGAACTTCAAAGGGCACCCGGAGGGCAAACTACACAGGGGAATGTGTCCAGTTTCCAGACCAAGCATTGTGGGACTGGACGTGAGAACTACAACTACTGAGACAGCCTACGGGTCTCACTCTCGGAATTCCCTGCCAAAAGTCAGCTACTGCTTCGTCGCACCGCGCGTAAATTTTACACTTAAAATGCTAGAATTTAAGTGGACAAACTGTTTAATAGAAATAAAGAGCTTTTCATCGAACCTCAAAGAAACTATACACAAGCTGTAAAATATAATTCTCCAGGAAAATTATACCGCATGTGACTACAAATAGCTTTGAACAGATTTTAAAATAACCTCAATTATGCAAACAGAGAACGCATTTCCCTAATTCATGGACCATCTGACAAACAAAATTAGTTTCTAAATAACTCTTAGCTTATGCCGGCGAGGTAAATCAAACAGCTAGAACATAAATAATTGATCAAATGAACATCCACAACGACACAGTCAGACCTAAATTACAAATTAGATCGAAATATAGTTTCCGGTTTTAGTAAACAGGACCATCTTCGTCTCCACCTCCACCTCCAAGGTCATCATCCATCAAATAGTCCTCGCCGTTATCAAAATAATTCAACTCATAGTCATTTGATTCCTCCTCGTCGCCCTCCTCGACTTCTTCAATATCCGACTCAAGAGCTCGTTCACGTTGCTGCTGCTCAGCCTGTTTTTTCTCATCAGCTTCGTCATCCGAGGCAGTTTCGCCCACTGGCGTTTCCTCAGTGAGAGCTTTCGACTCTTTTTCGGATAGCTCAGTCAGGCGGTCTTCGATATTTGATCTTTTGCTCAGTGCCGCCTTGGTAGGCTGTGCACGCTTTCTCGTCCTGAGTTCTAAAGGTAGAAGAACCTGAAATCATTCTACTCATTGAATGTGCAAAGCATTTGTCACCATTCATAAAACAAAATTGAACAAATTACATCACTTAAATTAAACCTACCAACTCACTTGCTCAACGGCTTTTCCCAGTTCTAAATTTTTGACACGTGATTTATATTTATCGGTATATCGTTTCACCGAAAAAGCACGTTCCTCGCGGAAGTAATATTCAGAGTTCTGCATCATAACTCGGAACTCCTGTTTGGCCTCAACTAAGCCATGGTCAATATCTAAATTTAAAGGAGGGTCAACAGGTGGAAAAAGTGGAGGTGGTTCTCTGACAGCTGCCGGCATATCTTCTCTTCTGACCCCTAGGAGATCCGCTGCGCCTCCTTTGGAGCCAAATCCGCCACCTCTCCCACGCCCACGAGACATTTAACTTGTGCAAATAACCTGTAAAACACAATTTTGACATGCTCTCAGAATTTTTTACATGCTTTCAGAAATTTTGACATGCTTTCAGAATTATTGAAATGCATGTTTTCATGAAAAAGGGTCTCACGGCTGAAGTAAGGAAAAAACTTGAAAAATCTATTTTGAAAACACGCAATACTCTTATCAGTGGTGGCAAAAGCCCCACTGCTCTTGTTATTTGAAACCTATAACTGCATGAAAACAGAATTGACGTCATACAAACAAAATGCGCCAATCGGTAATGTGCCATTCTGCCAGATTGGCACAGCGTAACCTTCCGGCACAACACGAAATTAGAAATAGAGGCCTTAGGGATTGAGAACTGTTGCAAAGGAGGGTCAGAATATTCCGGAATTTTAATTTTCAAACATTCGAATAGTGACGTCACATTTCTGAGAAATGCTAAAACAGCCATTTTGAGTCGAAAAAGTAACGAAAAACAGAACAACAGCAGAAATAGTCAAAAACAGTCGAACGTGAACGTAAGAAAAAACGAGGACTCTTATCGTGACGATCACGCACGATAAGACAGCTAATTAGAGACGACAGCGGAAAGGAGGCTTCAGTGGTGAAGGAGTAAAGAGCAGTACCCTCCCATGCCACGAATTGGAAGTAATAACGTTATTACAGTGAAATCACGGAAGCATTTGTCACCATTCATAAAACAAAATTGATCAAATTACATCACTTAAATTAAACCTACCAACTCACTTGCTCAACGGCTTTTCCCAGTTCTAAATTTTTGACACGTGATTTATATTTATCGGTATATCGTTTCACAGAAAAAGCACGTTCCTCGCTGAAGTAATATTCAGAGTTCTGCATCATAACTCGGAACTCCTGTTTGGCCTCAACTAAGCCATGGTCAATATCTAAATTTAAAGGAGGGTCAACAGGTGGAAAAAGTGGAGGTGGTTCTCTGACAGCTGCCGGCATATCTTCTCTTCTGACCCCTAGGAGATCCGCTGCGCCTCCTTTGGAGCCAAATCCGCCACCTCTCCCACGCCCACGAGACATTTAACTTGTGCAAATAACCTGTAAAACACAATTTTGACATGCTCTCAGAATTTTTTACATGCTTTCAGAAATTTTGACATGCTTTCAGAATTATTGAAATGCATGTTTTCGTGAAAAAGGGTCTCACGGCTGAAGTAAGGAAAAAACTTGAAAAATCTATTTTGAAAACACGCAATACTCTTATCAGTGGTGGCAAAAGCCCCACAGCTCTTGTTATTTGAAACCTATAACTGCATGAAAACAGAATTGACGTCATACAAACAAAATGCGCCAATCGGTAATGTGCCATTCTGCCAGATTGGCACAGCGTAACCTTCCGGCACAACACGAAATTAGAAATAGAGGCCTTAGGGATTGAGAACTGTTGCAAAGGAGGGTCAGAATATTCCAGAATTTTAATTTTCAAACATTCGAATAGTGACGTCACATTTCTGATAAATGCTAAAACAGCCATTTTGAGTCGAAAAAGTAACGAAAAACAGAACAACAGCAGAAATAGTCAAAAACAGTCGAACGTGAACGTAAGAAAAAACGAGGACTCTTATCGTGACGATCACGCACGATAAGACAGCTAATTAGAGACGACAGCGGAAAGGAGGCTTCAGTGGTGAAGGAGTAAAGAGCAGTACCCTCCCATGCCACGAATTGGAAGTAATAACTTTATTACAGTGAAATCACGGAAGCGGAGGCTCAGCCAACCCCCCCCCCCCCCCAGAGACAGTATCTGGTGAAGGACTATAAAGAACTGACTTTTTAGCTACTTTGATGCCATAAACATTTTGAATTAACACCGGTATTATTGGATATTTTCGAACATGAGTAGCTAGAAAGAGGACAGGGTCAATCCATCTCCAATGGATTTAATTGTAACATTCGCCCGGAAGTACATATCGACGGAAAATAAAGCTAGGTTTAGCCTAATTTTCAGTTTAAATCTTGGGATACTGAGATTCAGCCATGAGCTCACTATTTCTGCATGTAATTAAGTTAATCTGAGTGTTTTGACCGAAGCCGAAAGCAGTAACGTTTTTGTCGACCCGATGTTAGAAAGACCACCAAAAGAAATGGCTTTGGTTTTTTTTTTTGACAATTAAAATTTGTATCTGAAAAATACAGAACAGAAACAGACAATTTCAATATAGTAAAAATGCACAGCATCAAACCATCCAAAACGGTGTGCAACGACAGGCCGAGTTGTGGTACTCGGGAACCATGAACAGATGGAAGTAGAGCGGGCGATAGACGCTGATGCGATGGAACTGGGTTGGCGGAGAGCTATAGCAGAGAGACAAGAAGGACGACACGGGAAAGGACAGAAGAAAGCCGCATCTAGGAGAGAGTGAACTAAAAGACAGACTATCGGGAATTGAGAATATTTTCATCAGCATCCACCATTCTTACTGGAGAATATCTCATTTTCCTTTTACCGCGTAGGGCTATCAGAGCGGACTTGATGACGGTAAAACTCAGGCGCTTTCTTAAATAGTTCTTATTATCAGCGTAAGAGCAGCCATTCTTAGAGCAAAGTTTCTCCGCTAGAACAGTACAAAAGTGATCGGCCTCTTCACCCATTGCTCCATTAGTAGCAAAGACAAGGGGGTGAAACTGGCATGCTCCACTTGCTGAACCCGTTCTAGGTAAGCAGATTTCTTCATCTTCTCGTGGTCGGCAAGAATTGTTTTAACTGGCTTACCACGGTTCGATGGTGAGTTGATGTTGGTCACTCTGACGTCGTACATCGATTTTTGCATTGGCGTCCAGAAAGACCTGCACGCGATATCGAGACGAGCGCTTTCTTCAATGTTTCCCCGAATAGTAATTTTTTCCTCATCGGTCAGGGAAATTAGCGGAGGCTCAATGCTTACATCTTTACATACACTATTAAGAACATCAGCAAAGAGATCCCGGACGCAGTTATGGCGCATAATCACAAAGCCACCTAGCTTACAACTTACTGAGTGGTCAATGCTGTTATTTTGTCCACATTCACACTTCGTGGCCATGTTGACAAGTGGCCACTCATATCGCAAATTCAGACAATTTCTGAATTCGTCGCGGTTAAAGTAGAAACCGTGTTCTCTGGACGGCATGCAAGACAGCCAAGTTGATGTTCCCTTTGGCTGGAGCACCTCCAAGGCTCTCCTTAGAGACGGCGTGGCGTCTTGCAATATTAGATTCAATTCTGACTTAGCGTGTTCTTCGTTCCGTTTTCTGATGGCTTTGCGCTCTTCTGTGCAATGCGAGGGTGGTAGCTCGCATTTCTCGATAACAGCGCTCGTTAATCTCGTGCACAACTGTTTCGAGTTCTCGTGCTCTCGTTCCGCTCGCGTAGTGGGTATGGAAACGCCTAGACCTCCTATTTTGCAGGGCAACGCTAAAACTCTGCGCTCAAAGTCAGTGATGGTTCGGCCCATAATCTTTTCTAGGAAATAACGTATGTGGACCTCTAGTTTAGTTAAACCGTCATCGATGCCGGGAATGGTGCGCATGGCGAACGCCCTCTTGCTCTGCATGACTTTAACAAACACAGCATAAGAAAGATGTGGTTCGCGAGTCGCCATTTCGCTTAACTTATCGATCTGTATGACCCACTCCTCAATCAGTTTCCCAACGTACTGCTGTTAAAACTGCGCCGAACCTAATGTTCCCCCGAGATATCGGTGGCCCTCCGCGGTAATGTTAACTTTTGAACTCGCCAAAAGGTCTTCAGCTACTTTCTTGGACGTTTCATCTTTTAATATCAGCCAGCACTTGTCTGGTCTCGGGTAGTATCCATATCTAGGGCCCAGTGACAACAATGACTCCCACCAGCTTTTCACATGTTGCAGCTTCCCGATCGAGGCGGCGTCGTCAGCAAACCATGGTTGATGGCAGAGGTGGGCTTTCAGACGGTCAATCAGAGGCTTAATACTAACCGCATAAAAAGCCATGGCAAGATTATCGCCATGTGTCGTTCCTTCACGAGAAGTGATTTCCATTCCGTTATTGAGTATGAGGCGCGCCGGTCTTCAATAGGTGTTGATAATATAGCGCGAAATTTTAGGGCATAGCAGCTGTATATTGTAGAGGGCCGTTTTACGATTGAGACTATTGAAGGCGTTGGTTGCATCCACAAGAAGGGCAGCTTCAGATTCTTCTGCTCTGAACAATTCTTGCGCTGCGTGTATCGTCGCCTCCACTCCCCCATCACGACCCGCACATAACTGATGAATGCCAGCAGTGGTTGCGATGTCTTTGCTAAATTGTCGTGTTATTGACTTGCCAATGATTCTGCGAAGTACCTCACCGATGCCAATGGGTCTTATTCCACCTGTTGAATCTTTGGGTAGGGCTATTTCGCGACAAGATACAAAAGACTCAAGCGAGCGAGGATCTACGTTCTCGGTACAAATACGTCTAGCGACCAGCGAGACGTCTGCGCACAGTTGCTCAGACACTGCACGGTGCTTCTTTGAGCAAAGAAGGGTGCGCATGTGCTCAGCTGAAACCCCAGAAGGACCTGCAGAGCCTCTCGTAGCCAGCGCAGAGTAATATATCGAGTCTCCATCGATGGTTGCGTACACCACTGGATCAACAGCGGGAATATCACCATTCAGTAGCTCCCCGGGCGATGGTTCTGCCGCGTCTGGATGTAACTTAGCGATCTTCTGCCGATTTTCTTCGTTAATAAGCAGAGGTGCACCAGAGTAGGACTCACTCAGCAGTTTCAAAGCAGCAGACAATTTACCTTGAAGAACTAAATTTGCGAAGGCCTTTGTTATGTTTGTTGCGTTTGAAACTTTCATCTCCCCCTGGATAGCGGCACCTTCATTAAACAACATATCCATCTCACCCTCTCTCCACCACCGAACACGTTTCTCCAAGTACAATAGATGATCTTTCGCTTTGGAGGTTTTGGATGGTTTCTACAGGTCTAGACACAGAAGTACATGAAAAGCTTTTAACGATATAAATTCATAGCACGTTTTATGAATAAATTGGTTCAATATGCTTGAGAGTTCACGTTTGAGATCTTTCGCAGCATTGCCATGTGGGATGTCGAAGAGGTTTTTCTTCCAATGCACACATTTATCATAATATAAATTAATTTTACTAATGAAATCAGAGGCAACGAGTTTACCCCATGGCGGTAGTGTTCCACTTGAAGGTGAATCTTCACTGAAATCGATTGTTTTCATCTTACACGTGAGGCAGTGATATCTCTCCGGTTCATCTGCTCGAGGCAAGTCAACGCACGAGAAATGATACCAACGGCCGCACCCCGTCTCGATATCACATCCGATCCAGGATACACCGCTTCCAGTGCAGTCGGGCTGATGGCACTTTTCCCCGATGTTTTCTTGTCGTCCATCATCAGTACTGCCAGTTGTATGTGGTGTCACAGCAGCTTGTCGATTCCTGGCGGACCCCAGGCGTGTCCGGCTGCTGACTTGACTGGCCATTCTGCTCCTCGTGTGATTTCAG